TATGTATTACTAACATTTTCTTAAGTTAAATGATGTTGGTTTCTTATCAGGACTCTCCATTCTATCAACACTATGACCTAGATCTGAAGGACAAACCATTGGGAGAAGGAAGTTTTTCAATTTGTCGAAAGTGCACACACAAAAAAAGTAACCAAGCTTTTGCAGTCAAAATAATCAGCAAAAGGTGTGACCATTTATAGTAGTCTTTCTTAGTATTCATACTTGCCAATGAATTCTGTAAATTAAGAGATATTTATTTAACAGGAAACCAACAGTATATTGTAAGGCTTTTTATCCACAGGTTTAACCACTTTTCAGTTGGTCCATTATCCTTCTAGCTCTAATAGATATTTTCTGATAAAGTAATCCATTTAGACATAAATCATAGTCTGCTATTTTTTGAGTTTATTATGAGAAAATTTTTTGTGGCATCCATATATTTAATAAGGTTCACTTAGTGATTTCAGCAGTTCTTGCCTTTTCTATTACTTGTATATTTGAAATACTTTTCTCTAAAATTATTTAGCATGCTACTGGTAGCTTTGAGAGCCAGCTAGTTGTTTTGGTAACTGATTATTATCTTCATGATTGTATATTCTTTTACTGAATTGTCAGGCAAATAGGACATCCATTTCTTCATATGAGTAGTGCTTTTCTGACTCAGAAATAATAATATTCTCCAGAATAATTTATTACTTTTTCTGGTGGGTGGTATGATTCGTTACTTTCATGGAAACTTCATTCCGATACTTTGACATGTATATTCTGAGTGTACTGTAAATAAAAACAAAATTAGGGTTGGGGCAGTACTGACATAAAAACTTGCTTGAAGAGATATGTGGATGCTAACTTCTTTTGCAGGATGGAAGCCAATACTCAGAAAGAAATAACAGCTCTGAAACTCTGTGAAGGACACCCCAATATCGTGAAGTTGCATGAAGTTTTTCATGATCAGGTATCTCACTTTTTTCTGTGTGTACTAATTCACATAGAAGGTTCTACTTTTCAGTTTTGTTAGTGCTGCTGGGTCAGAGTCAGGGGTATGGGACATCACCCGGGCACTAGAAAGGGCAGAGAAGCTACTCTACACACAGACTCTTACCCACCCTCAAATCAGTTTGTCCTTTCACTTCTGCTTTTCTCACTCACTAGTTGCCACCTATGACATGGCGGAAGGACAGAGGGGCAGGAGCTCAGTGGTGCTGTGACTAGCTGCAGTGTGCTAGTGCCAATGCCTCTGCTACTCACCATCACTTAATCCCTGCATACCTCTCAGTACTGGGGAATTTCGAGTCTTCAACTTTCCCTTCACTTCTAGAGTAGAACTTAGAGAGCCTTGAGCCTAATCACTGCAAGCTAGAGAACAAATAGGAAGCAGAGGGCAAAGATACTCCCTCACATCTTCTTGCTCCAGGCGGAAATTCTGCTCAGTCCTGAGGCCAGGTCCTGCTGCCCCTCCCTCTTCTACTCCCAGCCCTGCTTTCCAGCAGGAACCTAACACAGAAGCATGCCACTTGGGATTTGGGAGACACACCATTGTGTCAGGTCTGTGTCTCCTCACTCCATCCATTGCCACCTCCAGTGACAGAAATCGCTCCATTACATTGTTCTTTCCTCCTGAGACTGGGTGGGGTGGGAGGATGCAGTCCTACTTGGGACAACATGGAGATGCAAGACCTAAAACCAATCCTGAATGTAGTTTGCCCTCATTTTACCAGTGAAGAAACAGATTCTGAAGGGTCATGAAACTGGTCGAAGGTCACAGGCAAGTCAGTGAAAATCTAGTGGAGAACATCTGGTCTCCAGTTCTGGGCTGTCTTTCTTGTGCTACTGTAACATCTGTGACCTGGAATAGATTGGGCCCAGTTCTCTACCACGTTGAAATCTCCTGAAATACCATGGCCAAGAATAGTATATTGTGGTGAAACCAGGCAGCAGCAGCAGTAGCAGCATAATCACAATAACTGCTGCCATTTGTTACCACGTACCGTGTGTGGTCCAGGTGTTGTGCCAGACAGTGTATATGTATCATCTTATTCAGTCCTTACCATAACTTCATGAGGTGAGAAAATAGACACAGAAGTTAAATAACCGGGTCTCACAGTTTATGAGTGGTAAGGCTGAGATCTGAACCCACATAGTCCAACTTCGGAGCCCAACAAGCGTTTATTACTGCGAACTAAAATAAAATTTTAAGACTCACCCCCCCACCGGCTGACTAAATGGACCCCCTCGTGGCCAAAGGAATACCCTAAAACTAAATTGCCTGCCAAGAGGAAGGAGGTCAGACATGCCTTATCATGTCCCCCTCCTTTTTTGGGGACATCCTTGTAACCCATTAACAGGCCTAAGGCTATGCAAGATAAACCTGCAGGTCTTCAATTTACACAACAAATCTATGTCCAGTGGCTTATCTCTGATAAACAGCTCCTTATGTTAAAACATTCCAAGCCTTTAGACAAAGCTTCATGTCTTTAACCAATTACAGGCCAAAGAATCTTTTAACCCACCTATAACCTGTAAGCCCCCGCTTCGAGATGGCCCACCTTTTTGGGCCAAACCAATGTATGTCTCCCACGTATTGATTTATGACTTCACCTGTAACCGCTGTCTCCCTAAAATGCATAAAACCAAACTGTAACCCAACCTCTGTGAGTCCACTGCTCAAGACTTCTTGGGCATGGCTCTGGGTCATGGTCCTCAAATTTGGCTCAGAGTAAATCTCTTTAAAATTATTTTACAGACTTTGGTCTTTTTTTCCGTTGACATTACTTTGCTCTACTGCCTTATGGGAGGCAGAAACATGGCCTGTTTTCACATCTGGCAGTGAGCACCCAAAAATGGCATCGTCCTCTGCTTGCTCTTTGCTTCTGTGCAGGAAGTTAGCTACGCTCCCAGCAAAAATTCGGGTCCCTTAGGCAGGGGTTATCACAAAGGATAAGAAAATAATAGAAAATGGAAAATAATAGAAATAAAAGAATATACAGAGACAAAGGTATAGTTTTCAGATTTATAAAGATAAAAGACAAAGTGGGGGTACTCAGGGGTCCTTACAATATCCCCGTGAATTGTGTAATGCCACGAGTGAAGTTTTACATGGGTATCTATATAGGTATAGTGATCGGTTGCCAGGGGTAACAGGTAGTTTGTTTTAGGTTTAAAAGTATTTCAAAAGGCTTCTCTAGATCCCTTAACTAACTCTATGTATGTGAACAAATGTTTACAAAATCCTTCAAGGACAAACTTCTAAGTTCTAAGATAAAGCTATCACTTAACAGAAGTGTTAAACAGAGATACAGTGGCTCCATATTTCTTTATCTAGTTATTGCAAATAGAGACATGTCATCAGAAGTCAAGCAGGAACTGTCCCTCGGGCGAATTGTTTTTAGCCGCAGGTATCTGTCTCTCGGGCGGACACTCTGATCAGCTCTCATCCCATGGTTCCATGCAGACCTTGCTTTGTCCTTCAAAGCAAGCAAGAACCACAGGTTTGAGATTTGCAGCATCGCCTTAGAAAGCAGCTGCTACTGACCGTTGAGATGCCCTCCTGAGGTAGAGCAGCTTTTGATATGCAAACTAACATGTTCACATATTCTTTCAGGGCAGAGCCCTGCAAAACTCCTGAGACCATTTCTGTCTCTAATATAGTAATATTAATTTATGGAGTGACAGTTCTCATAGTCAGAAAAGAAATGCCTTT